CTGACCTAGGGTGAATTTTAAATAGGGAATAATTTTTAAAAATTTTCAAAGATTTTAAATATGACACAGCTATTAATATATTTGCTTTTTAATTGGTTTTATAGGGGAAATGTTTTTTTGTGTTGTTTTTTAACATGCTGTGAGCCGCCCTGAGTCCCTCTGGGGAGAAGGGCGGCATAGAAGTTTAAATATAAATAAACCCCTCACACCCAAAAAATCCAACACAGGACAATAGCCATCAGCCCCAGCCCCAGGGAAGCACGATAGGACCTTTGGGACATCATCGGATTAACCCACCACCATTAGAAGACTAGAAGGGGACACTGAACCACAGGTCAAAGTTCATGACACGGGAAATACAGAGCCACAGGAACAGGAACCTCAAACACAAAAGCCCAAGAAGGGATAAAAACCCACCACTCCCAGCTCCGTGTGGCCAGCTTTCCCAGAGTCACCTTTCTGTCGGGCTCTGCTCTTCAATAAACAACAACCTTCTTTCTAAAGCGGTCTGCGTTTTGTTTATTCCCGGCTTGGACTGGACCCCGACGGAGATTTTTCTTTCAACAAAGTCATCCCCAAGCTTCTGCTACGCCTTGTGAGATCAAAAAGGACGTCTCTTGATGCTCTTCCCTCATTAATCTCTTTACAGTAAATCACCAGCCGTGCTCCTAATGGGGAGCCTTACTAATTAAAATTCCCCTTCTCGGATCCAGAAGCCAGCCCGTTGATTAATGCGTCAATTAAATCTAACGACTGTGTTCTGCAGCCTTACCGAACAGTCCTAGAGGTCTCTTGGGAACAGAAAGCTTTGCGGAGTTCAGCTGGGAGAATTAAAATAAATACAGGTTTACGACCACCGTTAAGCCTGACCTTTCTGTCGCTAAGCGAGACATTTGTGAAGTGAAGTTTTGCCCCCTTTTACGACCTTTCTTGGCACAGTGGTTAAGTGAATCTCTGCGGTGGTTAAGTTAGGGACACCGTCCTTAAGTGAATCCGGCTTCCCCATTGACTGTGCTAGTCAGAAGGTTGCAGAAGGGGATCACGTGACACA